ACTTGGGTTTTGCAAGTCGAGGGCACCGGAAGAATTGGTGAAGGCGAGTCGGACCCATCCGAGAAGCTGAGAGGCTAGTTCTTGCACCGTGTGCATCTGAGTCTTTGCAACCTACAGGCAAGACGAGCGAGCAGAAAAGGCATCATGGCACTGAATACAAAGACATTTAAAAAGAGAAACCCGGAAGCCAACTAGTTAGTTCAGAAAGATCAGTACGATGAGGCCAAATCGTCCAATTCTAGTTGTCCTTATGCAACTTGTCTTAGTTTTGGGAATTGTGGCAGATGACAGTTAAGGCAATGTCTATCCTACAGTAGGCAGCATAAAAGGCGAAAGTGTGGAATAGTAATTATTAAGTGCGGATGAAAGACTAGAAAGGGGTAGCTATATTTTTTCATAGGGCAGGTTTATTACAGGTAAATACACAAAAAATCTTTCCTGTTCCTCAACATAAAAGTCAGAAGGACTTGAGATATTGGACAACTTTAGTGCAGAATCCTATTTTATGCCGAAAATGTGCCCTACTACTTCTGCCGTCGATATAGATACCACATGTGATCAAACGACTGTACATCCTAGTCTACGCCTTGATTAATCGAGTACCACTTTAGACAGACAAAAACCGAAGTGCCTTCTGGAACTCCAGAACCACACAACACTAACTGGCATAGAGGAGGAAAAATTGGAGTTCGTAGGGCATCACCGTCATGGAGAAAGAAACGAGCTCTGGGCAAATAACTGTCGGTTTTCGATAGAAGCTCGCTTTACTCGTGTTGGAGGATATAGAAACCAAGCTTTGACTATTGTTCTGGGTTTCGAACTCCTAACAATTAAAACATAATTGCGTGAGATGGATAACACACTTATATAGAATAACAAACTTGGAGCAAAGTCTGATTAAGTGGATAGAAACTTTGCCAGTCAACATTTCGCGAAAGCTAACCACAGTCAAAAATCGCCTTTCTATCTGATTAAGTCCCTTCGCTTTTTGCGTTCATTGATTTTTATGAGTTTACCAAAGCTCTGAAATTCTGCAAAAATTATATTATGGCCTCACATCAGGGTGCCGAAAAGTCTACTCTCTGCGAATTAGGTATAAAAATTCATAGAAATGACCAGGTTATAAGGTGGTGCTTTGAAACAAAACTGAATTGACGTGACTGTCTAAAGATCAGACAGTATGAATACTACGATTCAAAAAAAAGGTAAAACATCAGCAAACATTATAAAATTGTTTATCAATAAAAGTTCTAGGGCTTAAGTAGTACCTTTTTGATATAAAATATCAATTTAAAGAGAAATAACGGTTCTAGACTTAAAATTCACAAGAAAGGAAAAGAGAATGAAGGAAGTAACAATTCTCTTACTTGTGCCTCTAGAATTGTCCAAAGTTGTTTGATGTCAGTCCCAAGGTGGATCACTTGTGGAGTTGGGAAATAGACCACTAGATCAGAAGTGGTGATCGTCAGGCCAATTCGACATCGGAGGCGAGAGTAGCCGGGGCAGTGAGTTAGAATGAAGGCCGAGGACTCAAATGGCGAGGAATGTGCTAGCCACCGGACCATTACACACATGTTAGGTAACTGTGCAAACTTCGCCAGACATTTCGCAACCCTGTATGTAAATAAAATCGAAACAATTGAGTAGAGGTCCAATTGCATACTGGCCATACGCATATGAAAAAGAATAGTACATGTAAGTCTTGCAGATGAAGACAGAGACGACAATAAGACTTCCTACACGGTGACTCTGCCGCTTAGTTGTCCGATCGTAAGCAAAACTTGTCTAGTATATTTAATCATAACTTGGACATAATAGCAGCATCAGCAGCAGAACTCGCGGTGCCGTAAAAGAGACATTTCCATAAACAAAAACAACAATAAACGAATTTCGGGCAGCAGGAAAAATGTAGGTCCTACACATTACTGAAAAACGTTCCTTACTCACCGTTGGCGGAGGTAGTAGTGTCGTGATATTGTTAGAAACTGGCCCAGCAGACTCTTGCCAGAGCCCATGATGGTCTCTATTGCACACTCGCTAGCTTCTGACAAATCTAGGGAACGTTCGAACACGGAAAGGTTTGAACAAGTCTCGAGAATGTCATCCATACCGGGCACCGTGTTGGAAGCGGACAAACCGGTGCCGGTGGCCGGCACGGCAAAGCCCCACTCAGTGAAGTAGGCATGACGATCCTGTCCTAAAAAGACCTGGTTCGGAAGGCCTGCTGAACCTTGCGAGAGACTAGTGGCTCCGCTGTCCGAATTTGTTACCATCCAGGCGGAGGCTGCGGTTCCTGCAAATCCTGCCACACTAGCGGTGACAATCGGCAAGCTTGAGATTGCCTGACCAGCACCCAAAGAACGTGGATTACGATACAAAAACGCGTCCATTGTGAGGAGAAGGGCGCCTGCTGCACGCATGCGTTTCGGTATCTGCACGGGTCCACTTGTTGGTAATGGAAGACTGGAAATATTAGGCCACGATGCGATGTGCTGTCGGTGCAAGATTCGACGCAACTGCGTACTCAGTCCATAGATTATTTGAGAGTTTGACGGAGGTTCGGAGGACTTTGTAACGCTATCAGCAGAGGAAACAGAATCCAAAGAAACAGAAAGCCGGACGCCTGGGAAAATGGTTGCGATCACTTCATTCTAAAATTAGGGCGAGTAAATTTGATAAGGTTTTGACAGAAGGAAACGCCTTCAGATAAAAAAATTAAAATACATTTTGAAATACGACAACCGTTGGGAAGATGTTCATAGCATTGAGATCGTATAAGCCAGCCAATTACAGGATGGATTTAGGGGAACCATAAGAACAAGCGAACGCGGTCGTAAGTAAAACATGCTTTGACACTAAAAACAATAAACTGCTGTTGAGCCGCAAAAAGAAGGCAAACTAGTAGGTAATCCCAAAGCCTGCCAGCAGAGATAAAGCAAAATTTAGCTTTGAAGTCGATATAGCGAACACGAAAAGCTGTCGAACGAGACCCTTATCAAAATATTGACGCCTTAAGTTGATTAGCTAATAGGATAAGAGAAAATGAGCAAAGGCAAAAAATCCAGCAGGCACCTGGACGGTGAAATCTCAAAAAGGCAAAAAGGTCGAAAACATGACAACTACGGAAAAAAGCGAATTTAGTAAGCCAGCGGTATTTCAAGATACGAAAAACATACGTCAATTGAAAAAGTGGTGAGGCCGCTGAAGGACTCTCCTGATTTTCGTATGGACGTTTCGTGTGAAAGGATAGAGAGTATTTCCCGACAGGCCAGAATATTCTGTGCCAAGCACAGTCTGTCAAATTGACTCTTTGGATTGTTTCCATGAGATATACTTGCGATTCCATTAGAGTTAGGAAAAGGAGCAATCGGCCATGATGACCGAGTACGGCTAGCGCTATCTTCTAGGCAAATGCGCAATCTTCCAGAACATCGATTATCGTTCATCAGAGATTCCAGAGTGGAGCTAAATATAACCTAAAGAATACAGTAAA